TATATATATATATATATATATATATATATATATATATATATATATATATCATACATAAATGTTTCAATATCATTTAAACAGTTCATTACCACCAAACAGACGTATAAATAAAGTTGGTCACCTTCAAGTGTTTATGTACACACAATGCAAAACATCTTTTAGGCAGCAGGAATATTAGGAAAAAAAACTAATAAATTGTGTTTTACTGAAATGCCAATGAAATTATTAAACACCTGTGTGTTCATGACTGAAACCAGCCTTTCCAGTCTTCAGACTGAAAATTTCCCTTGGAAACTATTTCTACAGGTTTCATAAAAGTTGTAATTTGACGCAGAGCAGGGTTCAGCTGTTTTACTGGTTTTTCCCTGCAGGTGTGGGGCGCGATGCGTTCAGGTGTGAGGACAGGACTGAAGCAAGTGGACCACCTGAGCCCTGATGTGCTACACACATTTCATTTAAAGACTTTGCTAATGTTTTGTAGTGATATTTTATAACACATGGTTGCTGGTTTTATCTTTCCTGAAGAGGTTTGAAGAACTTATATGAATTCTATCATCAATAGTTTTGTTTCTAAAATACATTTTCTTAGAATATCATTAATTTCAAACAGCTTCTTCAGCCAAAAGGCCACTAAACTAAGAGTAATTTGTGACATATAACATTAGATTTAATCTAATTATGACTTCAATTTGATAATTTTGCACCAGATTCCCTTTATTTCCATCTATTTATGCATGTCACAACTTTGTCTTTACTTCTGACTCATTTCCCTTCAGCACCTGTCACATGGTTTAACAAGTGGCAGATTCATAGTGCTGCGCCGACAGTTTGCTCTCTGTGTTTTCTACAGTGTGTATGTGTTTGCAGACCTTCCTCTCTTCCGCTCGGCTCTCTAATCTGGATTGGTTCTGTCTGCTGAGCTGGACATGAAGCCAATTACCTTCTAAAGGGCAAATCAGAGCCAAATGAGCCACACTGAACCACAGGCGTAAATAAAAGTCTCTGTCTGCATCAGTGGCCATTTTACACAAGATCCTGCAGTCCGGTGATTCTTCAGCGGGCTGGGAACCTTCAGCTAACACGCTTCCTGCACATGTAGCATGGAGGCTTATTGAGATGAAACCTTCTGTTTCTTAAAACTAAATTAAAATGGTGCCTTTACTACAAATGTATTGTATTACAGTAGGATATCAAACAAAGACAGGCTGGAAAATGACAGACTGGAGCAATTTTTTTATTTTTTTTGGTGTTTTTTTTCTTGAAAAACATGCTATTAGTAAAGTTTCTTCTACTTTATGATTAGATGGATCGACTGTGTTTTTCAGCTTTCGGATCGCTGATTATCTTACAAACAGCCATTAGTCTCATCTGTATCTCTGCAGGAGGACCTCCATTAAAAACAAACAAAACTAGATCATGATTTTAAAATGAATCCACGTGTCTCCTCCTTCATATTTTTTATCCCTCTCTTATTTTTCTCACGCCTGCAAGTCCACTTTCTGCACAGCAGGCACTTTTATTTCCTTACCAACGATTTTCTGTCAGCAGAAAGAGCAGAATGGCGTCTTTAGAGGGACAGGAGGAGACAGAGATCAGTTCAAGGGTCAAAGCCGGCCAACATATGACTGACAATAGACGAACAAATACACAAATAAAAGCTCGTGTTGGGGTAGAATCAAACCCCGGTTGTCTCAGTTTAATCCTAAATGCAGGTGTAAGCACAAAACATAGTCATTTTTTTTTCATGATCAATAAACTAGACACCAGCACACAAGAGAGCACATAAAATGCATTAAAAAACACAAAACCCTGAAATGAACATGCTCATTAAACACATGCAGCTTACTGTGCAACACACAGGAAGCCTTCACGGCCAACCTTTAAAACCACGGTTTGAAAAATGAGCTGAACTTTCAGCTCGTCTGCTTTTAAACTTGTTATCTCAAGCTCTAAATCCTTCTGCTGTGTCCCCACCGCCACCCTCTGTACCCCCCAAGGTTCTGGTGGCTGTCAGAAAAGCAGTGAGTCACCGTGCAGTTTGGAATTTGCAGTCTGTCTGACAAATTTTGAGCAGCAGGAGACCTGCAGCAGACGCTAATGAAAACCACAATCCATGGCCAAGGAAATAATTGCTTCCAGACACATAACAAGATTCCTGTGTTTTCAAAAAGGTGATGTTGGGAGGGGGGGAGTGAAAGCAGCTCAGCGTGACATTACAGACAAACATTTTCTTTTGTAGATGACTAGAGGACAGCATATGCTCTCTGTGATGGGCTTGTAATATGAACATGAAGCGTCATCTTTGCATGTTCCCTTTTAACCTTTTTAAATCTGAGAGCTGCCAGCCTGTCTGTTATTTATTCTCAGAAGGTGACTTTCATCACAAACTCTGTTTTTTTTTTTTTGGCATCACTTAATCACAGCAGTAAAACAATGAAAAGCAGTGGATTAGCGCCTAAATTATGCAGGACCACACACGTGCACTTACCGTAGTCTGTGTCAACTGGGGTGTGCATCGCCATCATCTCCATGCATTTCTCATGCTCACGTTTTATTATACAGTGCTCAGACTCAGAGGCCACCTGGAAGAAACGAGCAACAAACGCAGTAATTGTATCATCAAGAAATTATTTTAAAGACCATAATTATTATTTTTTTTGCCATTTTTTGCAAATGTATAAATTTATCAGTTGTATCTTCTTTCAGTAAATTCAGAATAGAATTTAACAAACAAAGATTTCAAAAACCATCTTCACCTTCATCATTTTTCTAAACAAGCACTTTGCTCCCAGACTGCAGGTTTACTTGGTGCTCCTAGAGTTTACAAAAGTAGAAGGGGAGCTTTCAGTTATCAGGCTCCTCTCTTGTGGAACAAACTTCCAGTTTCTGTCCGTGAGGCTTAGGTCTTTCCTTTTTGATAAATCCTATAGTTAGAATCATGTTGGGTTTCCTAAGTTATCCCTTAGTTACATTACTATAGGCTTAGACTGCAAGAGGACAAACTGATCACGTCTTTACTCTGCTGCTGTCTTTACCAGCTGTACTCTGTCTTTGTACGAACTATTATATGTATCATTGACCTGCGTTCTTCATTTGTTTTTCTTCTCATAGAAACAACACCTGGACAACACCTATGTCTGTCTGCATCTCTTTTCTGTCCTCAAACCCCAGTCAGTCGAGATAGATGGTCTCTCATCCTGAGCCTGGTTCTGCTGGAGGTTCCTTCCTGTTACAGCGGAGTTGTTCCTTTCCACTGTCACTAATGCTCATGCTCATGACAGGAGACTAATTCAGTTCAAACTGCTGGATTCCTTAAACATATGCAGTAATGTTTACTTGTTGTGCTTTCAAAATGTATTGTCCGTCCGTCCGTCCATCCATCCATCCATCCATCCATCCATTATCTTCAACTTATTCCGAAGTCAAGTCTCAGGAGCAGCAGCTTGAGCAGGGAGGTCCAGACATCTCTTTCCACAGCCACCTCTTCCAGCTCTTCTGGGAGGACTCCAAGGCATTCCCAGACTAACTGAGAGACATAGTCTCTCCAGAGTGTCCTTGGTATTCCCAAGGATCTCCTCCTATTCGGAGATGCCCGAAGCACCTCCCTAGAGAGGCGTCCAGGGAGCATCCTTACCGATGCCCGAATCACCTCAACTGGCTCCTCTCGATGTGGAGGAGCAGCAGTTGTTCTACGCCGAGTCTCTCCAGGATAACTAAACTTCTCACCCTATCTCCAAGGGAGAGTACAGCTACCCTGCAGAGGAAACTCATTTCAGCCGCCTGTATTCGTGATCTCATTCTTTCTGTCTATACCTAGAGTTTGTGGCCATAGGTGAGGGAAGGAACGTAGATCGACCGGTAAACAGAGAGCTTTGTCTTACAGCTCATCTTCCTCTTCACCACAACGGACCAGCACAGAGTCCACAATACTGCAGATGTTGCACCAATCTGTCTGTCAATCTAGCGTTCCAATTTTCCCTCACTTGTGAACAAAACCACGAGATATTTGAACTCCTCTACTTGAGGCAGAATCTCACCCTCAACCTGAAGAGAGCAATCCACCCTTTTCCGACTGAGGACCATGAAGAAAAGTTGGGTTTATGATGCCATGGGCATTTGCTGATGTTGGGGGCCTTGACGCTCTGACCATGGGCTAACCATCTGTCCATCCATCCATCCATCCATCCATCCATCCATCCATCCATCCATCCATCCATCCATCATCCATCCATCCATC